CAATGCACGGACAAGTGCATGAGACAGGATGTTACAGGAGAACCACGTGATGCTGACACGGTTGTCGTCATCTCATTATTTTTTAACAGAGATACGCTTACCATTTAGTGGAAATGAAAGTCTCATAGCGCCATTTTATTACCAACATCTTAGTGATACTGGAATACGTTAGTTTGAAAACATGATCACTGATTTGTGAGCTATGTATACGAATATATTTTCTTTAAATAATTTATTTAACAGCATATCTTCTTTTTTTTGAACAATGCTTTGTATGACATGACCTTTACTGTCTGAACCACATCGTGTTATAAAGGGAAAACAAGAGATGGCATACATAACCCATTCTAGATTCGACTCTATTTTTGGTAGTTACTAGAGAGTAAGCTATAGTTGCTCCCAAGAACTTCCAGAGAGGAAAACCTTACATCCGGAATAAACATGGTTTTAGTAATTCTATAACTGTGGCATATATATCATATGTTATATTATTATCATGTTTGAAGATATGAATTTAGCTGTTATATCATTGTACGATCTAAGCTGTTATATCATCGTACGATCTTAACTGTGATATCATCGCTCAATCTAAGCTGTTATATCATTGTACGATCTAAGCTGTTATATCATCGTACGATCTTAACTGTTATATCATCGTACGATCTTAACTGTTATATCATCGTACGATCTTAACTGTTATATCATCGTACGATCTTAACTGTTATATCATCGTACGATTTTAACTGTTATATCATCGCACGATCTTAGCTGTTATATCATCGTACGATCTAAGCTGTTATATCATCGTATGATCTTAACTGTGATATCATCGTACGATCTTAGCTGATGTATCACCATATGATCTTAACTGTTATATCATCGTACGATCTTAACTGATGTATCACCATATGATCTTAGCTGATGTATCACCATATGATCTTAACTGTTATATCATCGTACGATCTTAGCTGATGTATCACCATATGATCTTAACTGTTATATCATCGTACGATCTTAGCTGATGTATCACCATATCATCTTAGCTGTTATATCATCGTACGATCTTAACTGTGATATCATCGTATGATCTTAGCTGATGTATCACCATATGATCTTAACTGTTATATCATCGTACGATCTTAGCTGTTATATCATCGTACGATCTTAACTGTGATATCATTGTATGATCTTAACTGTGATATCATCGCTCAATCTAAGCTGTTATATCATTGTACGATCTAAGCTGTTATATCATCGTATGATCTAAGCTGTTATATCATTGTACGATCTAAGCTGTTATATCATCGTATGATCTAAGCTGTTATATCATTGTACGATCTAAGCTGTTATATCATCGTATGATCTAAGCTGTTATATCATCGTATGATCTAAGCTGTTATATCATCGTACGATCTTACTGTTATATCATCGTACGATCTTAACTGTTATATCATCGTACGATCTTAACTGTTATATCATCGCATGATCTTAAAAATGTAGTTGGTACATCATGATTGTTGTATCATCGCTTGATATTAGCTGTAAGATTATCGTATGAGCTAAACAGTTATTTTAGTGTATGTAGCTATTTAGTCCGCATATCGTCCTTGCTTTCTGTAAGTACATAATGTGTCTTTACCTCGATTTACGTACGCTTATAATAAGTGTGTTTGTATATGAACGATTATGCTACATTATAAATGATCACCCATCTGTTGTAAAACGATCGATACAGGTCAAACTGTCAGACACCTTCATCACAACAGAGTACATATATAGCGCATTCTCTCATTAACGTAATTAGGTGTCCATTCATCAAAAGTTCTTCGGAATAATTTGATAATGATAATAAGTATGAACATTGGTATTGATGATATAGAACAACGTCTATATCTGTGTCTGTTGGAATGTTAGTGCCAGTCTACCACTTGTTACTGGTACTTACTGGTAAGAGATGTACACTGGGCCGGGTATTCCATCTGATCTCGGCGTAACTGGCTCTGTGATTTTAATGGTCGGTACCTTTGTGTGACATTTAACCGTTTCAGCCGACGACAGTCACTACCAAGACTTTACATAACCTTATTTTTACCATTAATATTTTGTCTCATTGGTCTTTTGTTTTTCTGTACAAAATCAGGTCCAGAATGTGAAAGTTGAGGATGGCCAGCTCCGCCGTTACTCCAGCATGGCTTGTTATCCTTCTTGTCGGCGTTTATCCTTACAACGTCTACAAAGAGGCGCCAGTGTACGTAGCGGGGCCCAGGAGGGGCAATTATTCTTCATTGAAATATAACAGAACCAAAATAGATATACGTAAGTGAATACCGTCCTTGCTATATTCAAAGTAACCTGATAGATTTTGGAAATGTGTGCATCAACACTCCGTATTCCACACAGGAGTATTAAATAAATACATGTCGCCCATATATATTCCGCTATGCACCTCTCAGATGTTCTCACTGTATCAAGACGTTAAGTAGGAAAGGGTTTGTTGTGATGGGTACTGAGATGGTGTAATATTCAATTCAAGTAGGTCTTTGTCTTACATTGCGGTTACTTAGCACTAAACTTTACTTTTGGTAACAATCGGGGAACATTAGTGAAGCAGAGTACCTTATTGTTCTGAAACACCTGGTCGTACTTTCATGTACGTGTATGTTGTGTTATCGTATCAGTCTTTGTTCATAATTTGCCCTCATGTCATCGAGTTTGCTTTGTGTTGACGTATCGGTAATTTCATATTTTTGTGAACAAACATATACCTACACATGAACGTCTAAACGCTAAGAACATGCTATATTTGTCGTATATTTTTCAGTGTTTGATAATGCTAAGCCTGCAATATTATAGAAACGTTTTACTTGAAGGCATTCTTTAGAATATTATTGCAAATGTCTTAGATTGGCTGTTTACTTGTTACAAGATACATATATACTGTGTACTATCACACCTGTATAATGTGATATGTGCTTTTCATTTTTGTCCAGGAAAAATTAGACAACAACGTTTTCATACGCCGACACAGAGAGACATCGAACGGAACGTTTCAATTGAATGGGACTATACAGATTTCAGTCTTCAGTTTAAAAATATTGGTGGTCCAGCCTTCAAACTCAGGAGAGCTCCTCGTGCCACACACGGGGAGCCATGGCCTTTACCACAGACCTACCGGACAAACAAAGAACAAGTGTACCGAATTGATCCGCACTCATTCAATATCAAGGTGGAGAATTATTCGTGTGTTAATTTAGAGAAAGCTATCCAACGTTACAAAGATTCCGTATTTAAATTCGCTTCCGAAGAAAATTATGACAATTTGAAATATTTGAAAAATGGTGGATTTGATAAAGACATTCTAAATTTGAGAAAAATTCACGAAGATGCCACGCCCATTACGTGGATGTCAGTGGTGCTTAAAGAAACCTGCTCAAGTCAAATGCACGAGTCTTCCAACGAAACTTGTGAGTAGGAGTATTTTTATGATCAGCAATTAAATGCTGGCATATAATAAACACATTCCTCGCCTAACTCCTGAATATATGTGTGTACATTCTCCATATTCAATGGTATGCGGTAGCAATTATGTGCTTATGTCAGCAGAATTTATGTATACAAATGTTTTATTGGGAAAATAAAACACCATTTTTTGTAACATTTTCCCATTAAACGAAACAGCGATCTGTATATATCAATTTCAATTAAAAACTAATTTTGAGAACTGCAGTAATGTTCGGATCGACCTGTGGAAAATATTTATATTCTATCCTACTCGTGAAATATGTACACTATTATACGGGAAATCGCTTTTTTCATAAATCTTCCTATGTATGCAATGGCTCTATATTTTTCCTGTTTCAAAGACAAAGGCGCATGCAGACCGATTTGTTTCTTGTTTGTGTTTTTATTTGATAAAAGATAGCATGAAACAAAATACCACGTGCATGTACCTGTATTGACTTCAGAACGGACGGACAAAACGTTCGGCTCGACGTCCTAGAAACTTGGACACCACGTATGTCACTAAACATTTATATATATATACCGCTGAAGACTCCATTGATGTTACTATGCTGTAAAGAAATACCAAAATCAGCCAGTGAATAAAAGCATAGAGCTATGCCCAACACTACGTCATGATCGCCAGGATCATTTTGTTTTCAAATAGATTTAAACTTAAATTTTCCTAACTTTCTTTCTGAAGTGAATTCTAGCCATAGTCACCGATAACACGAAGTGCTTGACGAATATTTGGAGAAAAATACTTAAGCTTTTGTTGTTTTTTTTTTAATCTGGTTTTAATTTTCGTTTAACTACATTGTATCGGTGAATCGTAAAGAATCCCTTTGTCTCTGAAAATGTTTTAAAACTAAAAAAATAAAAAATAAAAAATGGGAAATCGAAATACACGAAGATGCCAAGATTGAACTGCTGGCAGATGACAAAATAGAATATGTATGTAACATGCGTTTAGATTCACATTTGCGGTGCAATCCACTATGTGAAGAATACAAGAAAGTGACTTTCATAAGTCTTCATGCCATATGGATGTATCCGCTGAACTTTCATATACATGAATGTTATAAAATGAAACTGGCTTTCAATCCAGATATGAACTTATAGAATATAACTTTTTATTTCTTAGATTCGCTATTGGTTAAGCCGTTTGGGATCTTCTTGAGAGCTATCGATGTGTGGGGCGCCTTGAGGGGACTCGAGACCTTCAGCCAGATAGTATATAAACGGCAGAATCAGGTAAGACCGCCCGACGATTCTATCGACATAAACCCACCACTGTAACACATTTCTCCACATACGAAGCATACGATTTTTTTCACTGAAAGTCTATATTTGTTTGTAAATTATTCTTTAAGCTTTGTATTATTTGTATTATATTCTCTCTGCATTGATGTACATTTCTTAGTTGTAAAGTACTTGTGTTAGCCTGTATTGTATATTAGCTCTTTTTCATATTTGTCTGTGGAAATGTCTTAGCAGTTTTCTGTATGTAGAAGTGGCAGACTATTCTACGCTTTTTCAGTAATTCTTAAGGTGTGTACATTGTATTTGTTAGAGTCACGGAGACGGAAAACTTGCCATCCAATCAGTATTCGTTTGTAGAGCTGTCGGGTAGAGGGACCACGATATATTAGTCGGTAGAGCTGTCGGGTGGAGGGGCATCGATAGATTAATCGGTAGAGCTGTCGGGTAGAGGAGCCATGACAGATTAGTCGATAGAGCTGTCGGGTAGAGGGGCAACGACAGATTATTGATAGAGCTGTCGGGTATAGGGGCCACGATAGATTAGTCGGTAGAGCTGTCGGGTAGAGGGGCAACGATAGATTATTGGTAGAGCTGTCGGGTAGAGGAGCCATGACAGGTTATTCGGTAGAGCTGTCGGGTAGAGGGGCCACGACAGATTATTGATAGAGCTGTCGGGTATAGGGGCCACGATAGATTAGTCGGTAGAGCTGTCGGGTAGAGGGGCAACGATAGATTATTGGTAGAGCTGTCGGGTAGAGGGGCAACGATAGATTAGTCGGTAGATTTGTCGGGTAGAGGAGCCATGACAGGTTATTCGGTAGAGCTGTCGGGTAGAGGGGCCACGACAGATTATTGATAGAGCTGTCGGGTATAGGGGCCACGATAGATTAGTCGGTAGAGCTGTCGGGTAGAGGGGCAACGATAGATTATTGGTAGAGCTGTCGGGTAGAGGGGCAACGATAGATTAGTCGGTAGAGCTGTTGGGTAGAGGGGCCACGACAGATTAGTCAATAGAGCTGTCGGGTAGAGGAACCACGATAGATTAGTCGGTAGATTTGTCGGGTAGAGGAGCCATGACAGGTTATTCGGTAGAGCTGTCGGGTAGAGGGGCCACGATAGATTATTGGTAGAGCTGTAGGGTAGACGGACCACGACAGATTAGTCAATAGAGCTGTTGGGTAGAGGGGCCACGACAGATTAGTCAATAGAGCTGTCGGGTAGAGGGGCAACGATAGATTAGTCGGTAGATTAGTCGGGTAGAGGGGCAACGATAGATTAGTCGGTAGATTTGTCGGGTAGAGGAGCCATGACAGGTTATTCGGTAGAGCTGTTGGGTAGAGGGGCCACGACAGATTATTGGTAGAGCTGTCGGGTATAGGGGCCACGGCAGATTAGTTAATAGAGTTGTCGGGTAGAGGAACCACGATAGATTAGTCGATAGAGCTGTCGGGTAGAGGGGCTACGACGGATTAGACAAAATGATTATGGCTGTTCGGGTATATTTATGCTTCCCGAAGACAGAGCATACACTCGCCACTTTGTCCGTCGAGCCGTCCGTCCGTCCGTCATAATTTTGTCCAGATCATAACACCTAAACTTTACGAGGTATCAACATTGAATTTCATAGGTAGAGATACCTTAACAAGCAGAAGAGCAGTGCACCAGAACCATCACTCTCTTCTGCATAATTTAGGAGTTATTGCCCTTTGTTAGTTTTCATACTTAAAGGTTGTCCGGAGCATTACACTCAAACTGTAAGAAGTATCAACATGAAACTTCATGGTAGAAAAATCTCAACAAGGAGAAGTGAAGTGCAGCAGAAGCACCACTCTCTTTTGCATAGTTAAGTAGTTATTGCCATTTGTTACTTTTAATACTTAAATTTTGTCCCCATTCGGAGAGAAGAGCCCGTCACTGACGGCCCTTGTTTGTTCCTGTATAGAAAACTGTACCAGTTAGGGAAATATAGCAGGCGTATTTAGGATGATAATTGGTGGGCTGTTTGAGGATGAAGATGTTGCCTCAGGACTAAAACGAGGTATATTACAGTGGTCAATAACACAGATTATTCTGTTAGATAACAAGCTGCTCAGTTTCATCAGATCGATAAATTTGTCGATTAATTCACAGTGACCGATATAAGAACAATACAATGTAGCATTCCTCAAGACTCGTCATCACAACATCTGACATTTCCGAGAGAAGGGTCTATCAGTGCGACCAATGTTCCTAGTCAGGCGACATAATGAAACCATTGTTGTGATCAAGCTGTGGTGGAAACTTTCACTTGTATTGTATAATATCCGTGTGGTTTTGATTGAATACGTTTTCTTTTATCATATTATTCCTCTACGGCTACAACACATGTATAGTAGTTGTGCGGTCGTTGACTGTTTCAGGACCTACATACACATTTCAGTCACAGGCTGGGACCAATTGAAGGTCCAAGGTGTGGTGAAATATTACTTTATTGTCATGTCACAAATATGTGTTTGATGTTCAATCTAGTGGTTCCATTGTGGTTTACCTTGTTCTCATTTGAGAACGTGACATTTCTTACTCAGATTGACCAAGATTTATATGGCGAGTGTCGTCGATGAAGCAGAAGACGCTTACCTTTTCGGAACACATGGCATTATTTACTTTGTCATTTTTTTGAAAATAACAGGAAGTGAAATTCACATTACAGTAGACATATTCTTTCTTGGTCACATTGACGGGTCACTTCAATGATATTCAAATATCATAGAAACATGACGACGCATTTGTTTGTACACACTGATAACACACACACACTACCTATGTAACTATCAGAACACATTAACACTATTTACATCCATATTCAAATCATTTGCGTAACACAATAGCACTATAAATATCAGCACCTAATTCATGCACACCAAATACATTTCCTCTTTGAATAACACGTGTACATATTTCACTTCCCAAATACACATAGGCGCTTTGAATAACAACGTTACAAGCATGACCACTAAAACTGTGTACGCGATACAAACTGAGACTTTTAAATATACACACCAAAGTCATGTACGTAATACACATTGACGCTTCAAATATCATTATACTCATGTACGTAATACACATTGACGCTTCAAATATCATTATACTCATGTACGTAATACTTATTGACGCTTCAAATATCACTATACTCATGTACGTAATACTTATTGACGCTTCAAATATCACTACTTATGTACGTAATACATATTGACGCTACAAATATCACTATACCCATGTACGTTATACATATTGACGCTTTAAATATCACTATACTCATGTACGTAATACATATTGACGCTTCAAATATCACTATACCCATGTACGTTATACATATTGACGCTTCAAATATCACTATACCCATGTACGTTATACATATTGACGCTTCAAATATCACTATTCTCATGTACGTAATACATATTGACGCTTCAAATATCACTATAATCATGTACGTAATACATTTTGACGGTTTCAATATTATCACCAAATATGTACATTGAACTTTTAATATATGCACTATACTCATGTACGTAATACGCTTTAACGTTTTAAATATCAGCTCCAAAAGTAATCAACATTGACGCCTTAACTTTCAACACCAAAAACATGTTTGTTATACTATCCACGCTTTGCGCCCGTATTTCGTCTAATGAAAGGTTAACGGTTCAAGACAAACGACAGGCCTTGTGCACGTGCCTGCGGATATGTTTGTACTTTAACAGCCAAGCACTTTTAAGCTTGACTGATTTACGTCACATTGTGAGTTGTCCCCTACCCGGGGTTTCATTAGTCACTCCCCGTTTGCCTCTGGTCTCTAGCGTGATATCTCATTTGAAGGCACTCAGATTAATGTGCCGTTTTATTTTCTATTTTGCTGAATATTTTTTTATTCGTTTACTGTTATTTGCAAATCGAACTTTTCAATTATTTGAAAACAAATTACTTTCGGGGTTTCAGTTCGTATTTATCAGTACAATAAAGCTTTATATACAGACGAATTTCTTAATTTTTAACAATTTTTTACTGTTGGTAAATAGCATGGTTATGTCTGGTCGGGCGTACTTAGCACCGTTAATGCACGTGATTTATAAAGCGATAACGACTGCGGAGAACGTACAAGTTTCAAATCTCTGTGACGTACACTTACAGAAAATAGTTCTGTTTTAAACGTAACAAGAAAGAATTACTTGTAGCATAAATACAGGAAGATCTTCCCGTCATTAAAAGAGGCTTGCTGGGGTTAGGTATGAAAGCCCATAGGCTAAATGAAATCTTCAGATAAAAATAAATATTGCAAATATAAGGAATTATACGCAATAATCATTGTGAATATAGGTATTACTATTAATTACATGTGTCTTATACTCTACATTCAAGTTCTACAGTGGCAGATTACATAACAATGATAATGTGGACGTTCATCCGAAATAGAAATCTTAAGCAACAATAGTCTATATGTGATAAACCACGTTAATAGATAATCAGCATTCCTTGGTGAATTCTACCAGAGATAAGGAGTGTTATACGGTTTTGATAGGCTTGCTTTGTTGGTGTACTTCATTTCTAATGATACATAGCCGGCTAAACTGACAGCGTCGTTCATACCATCCACGGCATGTTGAAACGTAACTTTATCTGGATGAACATTAAGTTTATTTATATAAAGGAAATGTGACTTCCCAGTCGTTAAGGTGCCACTGTAAAACTTGAATGTAGAGTGCCTGTAAGTGCGCGGAACAACGAAACATACGCGACATCTAGTCAATAGCACTGCGTGTATTCGCAATATTTTTTTTTATTCAAGATTTTATTTGACACCAATGGGCTTCCGTAGTTAGCGCATTAAACTCATATGTATATTTATGTTTTCATGTCGAGTTTTTTTTTTCAAAGAAAATGCTAGTCACAGAAACATCCAACAACAACAAACGCCTTTGAGCCGTGAGTGTCCCAGGTCAGAGGGCGTTCAGGTCGCGACCGCACATGACGTCAGGCATAGATCACGTGATAAAGCGACAAGAGAGTAAATCACTCCATCAGGATTATATACAATAATGACGGTTATCTAGCGCGGGAACAGAATAGGGTCAAGACTCGCTCGACATCCTCAAAGGTCAATAATCACGGACAAGGATTACGAGCGGAGCGTTTAGGTGGTCATATATTGCCATTAACTTATAATAAATGTGGTGGGATAAAAGAAGTGATCTGTGTATTACGATCGAAGAGTGTGAGAACCTTTCGATTTATCAGCATTATGTTAGATCGATAAAGACAATCTGTTCGCTTGGTTGCTTAGTTTGTTTTATGAGGTGTCTTACAACTATCAACAGTAATATCACCTCGACACGCAAAACAGAAAAATAGAACACACCGATTTTTCTAAATTATCACTAAACTCCTGAGTAAATTTAAGTCACTTTATTTTACATGTATTTTTTAATTATTTCATAAAATTACATTTTTTTCATCCAAACTATTTTTTCTATTGAGTTATTATACATTAATGCAGGTATGTAACACAGTGAAATTTTGATGGATGACGTGACTATCAGGGTACGTAATTTGTACCCTCCTAAGACAAAATGGTGTCCAATAAATATGTTTAAACAAAGACTAGTCAATCCCATAGGATAATACTGGTTTCTTCATCAATCTCACACCAATCTTCAGAGGTCTTTATGACACAAACGAAAAAGTCGCTCCCAGTTGTCTTTTAAAACTCCTCAGTTCCAATGATCGAGAACGACGCATTTTAAAGGAAATCTTGGCAGGTTGTGGTAAAGCTCCATCATTATAGCCGACAGATCTGTGGAGGATGGTAGATGAAGTGGTAGAATGTGTCATAAAATGTTTTGTACAGAGGAATAGCAAAGAATTGAATGATCTATATACTGAATACTTCATACTAATATTTTGTCCTTCGGAAACTCGTCATTGATTATTCAAGCCAAGGAGGCGACTAAGAAAAATTAAAATCGGACGAATAAGTATCTAACACCAGATGGAGAGGTGAACTAACCCAAAATTAAATAGAAAACATCATTTTCGATATTGATACTGTGTTTAGATTATCAACCATGTCCATTAGTTCGGAATCAGGCTTTAACATTAAAAGTGTATATCCCTTTCAGACTATTTTCTCACTCTCATTTCTAGTAGCCACTCTATAATACGTTTAGTGGTTATCTCCCTTGAAAATATATTATCATCATGTATCGTGTCTCTGTTTCATTTTCAATCAATTTCATCTTTGCAAATATATATACAACGGGATACAAAATACCATAATTATATGATCGCCTTGTTTTGTACATACGCATGTAATATTTTCGCGTATTACACGTGTGATATAGCCTATTGTGACGTCAGGCTAAGATACTTTATTTACATTGTGATAATACGAACTATGTAGAGAGAGCCAGTATGACATTGACTTTGACGTGGAAATGTCTATTTTCCGAAATAAAGGTATAAATAATTAATAAAGTGTTAAAAAGCTTGAAATCGTTTCCATTTGATATATGAATTAAAAATAGTGGTCACTCTTTTTTTTCATTTTAGTAATAATTTGTTTCATATATCACATATATCAAATGGTAATTGTAAGCCCGTACATAAATCAAAGTTGAGTTTAAATAGTTAAAAAACGTACATACTTACTTAACGAAAAAAGAGATGGGAATTAATATCCGGAAAACATTATATAAAAGGAAACATTTCCTGAAATCGGATACAAGATTATACAGTTTTATAACAGCTGAATAAAACATTGACATCAATTGACATGTTCTATTTTTGTTTCAGTTTTATATAAAAGACACAGTAATAGAAGACTTTCCAAGATTTTCTCACCGGGGCATCCTTATCGATTCCTCAAGACATTTCATTAAAAAGAGCGTCATTTATGACGTCATCGTAAGTATCACAAAATGTTTGCTTACGTTTATCACATTAACGTAAGAAATTCAACAAAAACGTTACATGTAGTCATGAACGAATGGAGATATATGGTACTTACTCTCATTTTGAACTTCATAGATCGTATTACTTTAAGGATTTTGAATGTATACAGCTTTTAAACTGACATTTCACTGCAAAGTTTTTGTTTTAGGAAGGTATGGTACAGAATAAGATGAACGTTCTACATTGGCACATGGTAGATGATCAGTCTTTTCCGTACGTTAGCCGGACCTTCCCAAATCTCTCTGACAAGGTGAGTAACTCGGCTCAAGATCTCTTTTTATATGGCATAAGCAAAAAATCCTCCATGCGCTACGTTTCTTTCGACAGTTATCGGACCATACAAATGATAGGGGCGCTCAATGGCGCTACTGTACCGTATACTGCAATCACACTGAAATGTCACTGATTTGACACGAAAATGTGAAAAGGCTAAGTATATGTACAGTATCAGTTTTGAAAAATACTATGTGCCGGAAGCAACCTTTTTGAAAATTAATTTTCGTCTTTTATCCAAAGGAAACATTATGATACTTTGTTATCAAGAAAAAAGTAACGTGAACAATCTAAATTTCCGTTTGATTCAACGAACTCAAAACTGCATAGCGAACAAAAAATGAGAGGAAAAAAGATTCCCTTAACCTTCATTGGACCATGTCCAGGTGTTTATTTTATGATTGTATGCTTGAATGGAGACAATTTCGGATGTATTTTTCATGAGTAAAAATGAGGAAGTCGCTGTACTTCGATTTTTGCAAGACCAGCAAACAAGCTAAACTATTGGGTTTCGGGTCTTGAAATAAGGTAAATTTGTTGAGATTCACCAATTTAAAATCCGTGAAATGTGTTGATAATTAATGCAGAATTCATTTGAAATCTACGCCAGACTTTCAGAGTTATACCCAAGAGAAATACCTTATCAACGAGAAAATTAGAAATAATTGGTGTTATTAATCAAATCACGCCGTCAACAACGCCATCAAAACAACATGCAACGGAGACAGCAGGTACAATTCCTGCACCAAGAAACTGTGCTGGGTGTATCGACACTACACGATGGATAAGCCTCATATTAAAGGGTTGGACTTTTGGCGGACATATTGCATTATTTTGCAACATAATCCCTTCATTATCTATACACTTTTTACAGCGATGTTTAAAGGCCTCAACTGTACTGGCTATATGTCATGGGCTCTATTGACCATAACTAACCAAATGACACCAGTCTTCGGGTACACAGCCTTAAATAGTCAGGGTTAAGTAGAGATGAAAAAGGACATCCCTGCTTAACTTCTTCAGTACAAGTCTCACAGCTTATCAATCGGCATCCGAACGTGTATTTCTGTCGATTACTTGCAATTACATCATGTAATTGTAAACAAACAATAAACGTAGGTTTCATTTGTGTTTACAAAACAATATATTAGCCTACATTTGAGTTATTGTGGTATTGTTGTCGTAGACAATAGGGTTAACGTATCAGTATGAATACTTTTGATACTAACTAAGGTTTATAGATCAATCACATCTGTGACGTTTTCTGGTTTTCCGTTGACAGGGCGCTTACCATCCATCTTTAGTTTATAAAGCGAAGGACATTGCTGATATAATTGAGTTTGCCCGGATACGAGCAGTCAGAGTCATTCCTGAATTCGATACTCCAGGTATGCGTTCTTTGATCGGACCAATATACCCAGTCAATGGTGACCAATCAGAATGACTGAAATATGCATTCTCGTTCTTGTTTCTTTGACGACGACATCGAAACCTGATGCTGTAATAGGCTGAGTAGAGGGAATTTTGTGTTTAATATCTGCGTGTCTCATAAGTGCAATGATAAGCATTACCTATCCTTTACAATACATTTTCCGAAACGGTTAAAGCGTAAACCAGCGAGCAACCTTTTCATATACTCAAGTGAGAAATGTTTATCTGTGATTATCTAGAAAGTAAGGTTTTATAACCGAAATTGTAGCTTCGAATAGGGTTTCCTGCTACTACATTGGAAAGTGCGCCACTGATTTTGCAGCACGGACAATCAATTTTCTACTGTCACGTGTGTTTCAGGTCACACGTTTTCTTGGGGGTTTGGTCACCCAGAGGTCCTTACCCAGTGTTACAGAAACTACCGAAAAGTAGCAGGCTATCTAGGTCCCATGGACCCAAGCAAAAACTATACATTCGAATTTCTCAATAAACTATTCCATGAGCTATTCGATGTATTCAAGGATCGTTCCATTCATCTAGGAGGGGATGAAGTGTCTTTAACGTGCTGGTGGGTATTTTTGATATAATAGCGAATCGACAGTTGAATGACATACTATATTGCAAAAGGCATTACTGTTTTTACTTGGCACTCGAAAGATAGGCAAAATACTAAGTATGTTCATTGTCATTGAGTACAATTGTGGTAAATATTATGTTCTGAGGCCGAGCGAAAAATATCATTTACAGTCAGATTGTAGTATCAAAATTCCAAAAAATCGTTATAGATTTGTTTATGCTAAAGAATTATATGCAAAGTCCTTGGTTGTTCTGGAAGCTGCCGTTAAAAACAATTACAGCATTTACATTTTGACTGCAGTATGAATGATATCATTCTATTTAGGGCTTCAAACCCGGACGTGAAATATTTACTCTCTACTATGAACGATCTTTGGAACACAACTTTAAGGATTAGGGATCCAATGGTAAAGGTGTGGAACTATTTCGTAAGAAGGTAGGTTTTCTTTATGTAGCAGATGGGGCTGCTGCTGCACCTCCCCGTCAAGATTTTTACTTTTCTTTTGATCACTTTAGTCGCCTCCTAGACTGCAAATTTTAGGTCCTTAGGTTCTAAAAGGACGAAACAGTTGTATGGTGCTGTTTAATTCATTGTTTGGCTCTACTGTATCTAACTCTAAATTATTTAAAGGTGCTATTCACTTTTGTGTTTTTTGCACGATCTTAAATATAAACTTCCTGAAAATTTTAATAGAATAAACAGCCATCTTCCTTTTCTTTTCTTTACAAAGGCAGTCAATATATGAATGTCATCATACTTCGATAGGTTGTAGTGACTTTCGAAGCACTGCCACGCGAAAGGATACACATTACTATGAGTACACAAACATAGTCCTATTGTAAGATTTCAACGCCATCCTGTTAGATTTTTGTGATAGACTAAGATTTAATTACTCGGAAGTAATCGCTACGACCTATATTTGTGTATTTGCGACATATTCTTCGTCAATAAGTCTTGGTTTCTTAATCATCTAGATATATTTTACTTAGGTAGAAATACGCATTGGATATTTAAGGTGTAATAGTAATTATCAATATTGTGTTAATTTGGGCAAGAATCAATTCACAAGTGATGTTTTTATGTTTCAGGTTAACCGATAATCTTAAAGATATGTCTCGGGAACAAGGTCGAGAGAAACGCTTCATTATGTGGGAGGAGGCCATGCGAAATCGATTAAAGGTAAATGACGTCATCAAATGATGAAAAGGAAAGCTTGTCTGTTTGTCAAAAGTGATATGATAGATTCTATAGTGTCATCACGCTGATAAAGACATATGGTGTATTTCAGCGAGGATAAAGAAAGACAAATGTGACTAACAACTTTTGCCTATCAGTCTCGAGCCAAACTACAGCATTCTAATTGTCCTGTAATATTTATTAAAATTTCAGACTATCGAAATCTTATTAGTTTATGGTTTAATCTTATACCTCAACTTCACGTTACTTTCCTCGCATTTAAGGTAGACATGAATGTATTTCTACACCAAACCAGCGCGGAATTTTAATAAAGGGTAACAACAGGCAAATGAGTCAGTTTCCGACTTTTTGCTTGGGTTATAAATGTCGATTTAAAATAAATGTCACAATTCAAGATATTTAGAAGGTTGATTAGGGCTATGATGAAATTTCTTGTTCCCATCCTAATTCTTTTTTTATGATTTTTAAAAAAAATTCGACGATTTTTCAATAGATGGCAAAAACATAACCATTCACTCGCACGCCAGACAATACCACACTCAAACACATACAGAACACACACACTCAAACACATACAGAACACACACACTCAAACACATACAGAACACACACACTCAAACACATACAGACTACACACACTCAAACACATACAGACTACACACACTCAAACACATACAGATTACACACACCCACACATATTATGACTACACACACTCAAGCACATACAGATTACACACACACACACATGCAGATTACACACACACTCAAACACATACAGAACACACACACATATAAACACAGAGTACACACACACATAAAGATTACACACACAAATATTTATACAGAGTACACACACTCCAACATATACAGAGTACACACACTCAAACACATACAGAACACACACATATAGAACACACACACACAAACACAGACAGATTACACACACACACAGAGTACACACACACACAAACACATACAGAGTTCACACACACACAAACACAGACAGATTACACACACACAAACACAGACAGATTACACACACACAAACACAGACAGATTACACACACATATAAAGAGTACACACACACAAACACAAACAGATTACACACACACACAAACACATACAGAGTTCACACACACACAAACACAGACAAATTACACACACACAAACACAGACAGATTACACACACACACATAAAGAGTACACACACACAAACACAAACAGATTACACACACACACACAAACACAGACAGATTACACATACAAAGTACACATACAGAACACACACACAAACACATACAGAGTACACACACACACAAACACAAACAGATTACACAAACACACAAACACATACAGATTTCACACACACATATACAGATTACACACACACAAACACATACAGATTACACACACACATACAGAGTACACACACTCCAACATATACAGAGCACACACACATACACAGACACACTGCAATGTCTTAGGACCTGATATCATTGTCACGCTACAGCTACATGTACATTCTTCATTTTATCTAAGAACTACCATCATCAGCAACATCATATATAGTACACATCATTATCATCATCATCATCCTCGAACATGATCGTCCTCAAATATCATCATCATCCTCAAATATCATCAGTGTCCTCAAATATCATCATCATCCCCAAATATCATCATCGTCCTCAAATATCATCATTCTCAATTGTCATCATCCTCAAATATCATCATCGTCCTCAAATATCATCATTATCCTCAAATATCATCATCGTCCTCAAATATCATCATTATCCTCATCATCATCATCCTTGTTATTGTATTTTATCATCTCATGCGGGATATGATCAAACATTAAAATTTATATATAAATGTAGCTATTGAGGTCATAAACACAATATATCATAGTTACAGATATGATGAATACACTCAAACTTGCTCAATTACGTAATAATTCTTCAAAATGGCCCGGATAAAACAATTTAGAAAATAGACACACTCAAACCGAGCAGATAGAGGCGGCTATAAAAGCTGGCCCAGCTCAAGCATATTACAATTACAAATATCATTCCCGTTATGGAATGTGCACACACACTATCACACAAACACACAGATAAAGGAGAAAGATGGGAAAGGAGGGACAGGAGAGAGAAAGAGAGGAAATGCGATGGGTAAAAGAGGGAGCAAGGAGGACGAAAAGAGCTGGGAGGGTTTATCAAATACCGTCTTTTTCTACAATAGTTCATCTATAAGAAATAAAGAGAAAAATAGAACAATAGCAGTAGTTATGGTGATGCCAAGGTCAATGGGGGGAAGTAGCTCAAAGTGTAATTTCTAAATCCAAAATATGTTTCCATTTTTCCCACCGTAATTCTGTGTCCGTGTGTTATATGATGTTAGGGCTTGTTCCATTATAAACACTTTTGTGCAAGAAGGCGTCAGCTGGCGGACAAACTCGTAACACAGGGATTCAAATGATGCTGGTTGACGATAATTACGGGGAGTTTTTACGTATAGTTATCATAGTGATCTCGTTGAGAAATATTCTATTTCTATGCGCGATATGAAGCTTGACGTGATCGATGATCGTTAGTTTGCCTGTAGGTTCCATTGTTGTATACCTAGTTCTCATTTGAGAATGTGTCATTACTTTATTGGATTGATCAATATTTACATGGCGAGTGTTGTCAATGAAGTAGAAGGTGCTTACTACGGAGGAATACCTGGTCTTATTCTCTGTACTTTTGTATGAGCCTCCGTGTGAATCTTTCTTTCGTTCGTATTTTTTTTTATTGAATTTGAGTTTGGATTATGACTATGTTGACATGGCATACTCTTGTTTTTCTTTAATGCATGGTGTTTTCGTTGCTGTGAATCGTATTCTCATTTAGGATCCTACTTTGATTCACCAAAATGTACATGATGGGTGTCATCGATAGATTAACCATTCTGGAACGTCTGGTCGCAATCTCCTTGTACTTTTTAGTCATTTTGTCAGTTTTTGTTTGGGTTATGTGTTGCTCTCGTTCCATAGATTTTGAGTTTGAACAACAATCTTGTTTGTCCATACCTTTATATGTTTATTTAGTTGAATCATATTGATCCTTTGGACAGATTCCCAAAGACACGATTATCCAGATCTGGTTGGGCAATATACGGGAGGTCCAACAGGCAATAGATCGAGGCCATCAAGTCATCTACAGCACATGCTGGTATCTAGACTGGGTTGACCACGGTGTACATTGGCCAAAGTATTACCGATGTGACCCAAACCCAGTTCGAACAGGTAACTTCAATATAATGTGTAACATAGTATTGCATCATCTTAATAATTTCTGTGTTACGTTACAATAATAATCTCAAAAAAGCGAGGCCGTGCTTTCCTATTGCTGGTACAGTAATAAGAATATGCGTTATATTCAAGATTTTCGATTTGATATATCATTCTATTAGTGTCGGTCAAGAGGCGTGACTTTCAAATATTACACTACACGAGGATAACATAACAAGAATCAGGGATGAAGGGCCTGATTTAGATTTTTTGAGGTTTTTCTTTTGAAGCTCATTATCCGCTGATTGTATTGCTTCAGATTGTACAAAGATGCAAAAGTGAATAACACATTTTGATAATTTAGAGTTATATACAGTAGATCCAAACAATGAATTATACTGCATCACTCGTCACTGATAGCCTGAATATGAGCATTTTCATGAACCAGGTGGATATCAATTAAGAATATCGAGAAATGAAAGAAATGCTTAGAAGTGCACAACAAAAGAAAGGAGAAATGTTATTTTGTAGGTGTTACAGACTATCGCTTAAATAATTATTTAGTAATTTTAAGCGTTATTTTTTTTTATATGCTTCTGTACTTTTAGGCAAGCAATCCAGAGAAAAAATGATCCTTGGAGGAGAAGCTTGTCTCTGGAGCGAGTACATCACTAACGAAAACGTCATCAGTCTGCTTTGGTATGTCACGCATATATGTATGCAAACGTCCTTCTCCAAAACCTATTTTTAATGTGATAGTCTACTTTAGCGTTACCATATAAGTCGAAAAAGAGGTCACACGGTGCTTACAGGCAATTTTCAGCCTTTTTTATAGTATGAGATCATCACAGTTACCGTATTACCACGGAACAGCGTGCGGTCCACGGAGGACATTAAATCTGCCATGGGACGAAAGGGCGAGCGATTCTAGAAGAGTAGTGAAAAAATGTGATTTATTAAGTGTAGGGCAGACAGCAGTCACGGAATTTTGTCTTCAGGCTTTACATATAGCACAATCAATCAGCCAATCATGTCACCTTCATCAGACAAATGGCCGATAACACATCATCAGGTGTTAAGTGTGCGAGATGTTTAACACTTCATTAAATCATATCAATTAAATTTGTGTTTAAGGCAAAGTAATGACCTTTCACTTGGAAAAAAGAATAATAATTGTAGAGGTTATAGTGACTGTACACTTTGGTGCAGAATGGAATAAAATTGAAGGAAATAATAATGAACTGCAAGTCTCTTCTGTATTGTTGTTTAATTTCGCGGAGTTGATATTCTACGGTTGTTCTTGTTGGAGTTAATAGGTGTCAGGGACCGAATAAAAAAGGAGATCACGTCTATACATTGGTATACAGTCATACAGAAATGTATTGTAGATTTTAATTCGCAGTTTTGCACAAGAAAATACCAACATATCAACATAGTCATAGTCCAAACATGAGTACAATAAAATGAATGCAAATTATGAAGATTGACACGGATAGTCCTGAAAAAATCTAAGGATAATTAGACCAGATGTTCTGAAAAAGGAAGCGTCCTCTGTTTCATCGCCGACATCCGCAATGTAAATTTTGGTCGATCCAAGTTAAGTAATGTCACGTTCTCAAATGAAAACAAGGTATGCAACAACGAACCAGTAGGCAAGCTAACGAGCATCAAACACGTCCATCTTCCTATCGCACAAAGAAATAGAATATTTTCTCATTGAGATCACTATGACGACGATAAAATGTCCCCATAATTTTCGTCAACCGGCATCTTTTGAAACCATGTGTTACGAGTTTGTTCGTCAGTATGACGAATATTTGCGACATATAAACACAATTCGTTGGGGATGTTGGCTTGTTCCGATCAAGAAATGGAAAATTCACATCGAGAAATCGAAATCATCACGCGTATCATACAGCTTGATGGAAAGCTGTCCATGTTTGTTTCGTTGTGGGAAAAGATCGAAATAAGCGGCTGATGTAGAACAATCTGTCGTGTCCTTGAGTTCCAATTCTGGTGGACGTTGGACGTGGTCAATGAATTTTTGCTACATCGTCTACAATATATCTGAAAGTGAAATTAAACGACTTCGCAAGGTCTTTGTTAACTGTTTTGATAAAGTCAGCCTCTTATGAAAACAAAAACAAGTCAACCAAAACAGGGGCCCAGTAAGGCCCCCCAGGTTTGCCAGTTGTCTTTTGGAGGATCACCAAACTCGACGAAAATATTGTCAACCAGACACATATGTATGCATGTCCTTATGTATTTCTTCCTTGTAAATTACTTAACCGGACCTTAGTCTGTACTCAATTAATCTGGTTTCACTTACCAGCAAGTGTTCATATCTGACACACTGATCTCCTAGTCATAATCCACTTATACATACAAGGATGTTTGATCCTATTCGTCACTGCCTTTGCTTATTCGAACAGGGAACAGATACTTAATATGCCAAAATCAAAAGCTCTATACTGGAAACAAAAAGAATGTCATTAAAATCCACCAGATTGTTTGACTTTATGGTTATAAGTTGGATAATACTATCGTATATCTGAGCATAGTAAATTTTGAGGAGTTCCAATTTGTTATTGGTTTTTTTCTTTTGAAAAGACAACATACTGTCGCCAATGTTTCAACAACAGTATGATGAAGTTCATTTCCTTTTTTATTATGCTATATGTAATTCTACATTTGTGTTTCTGTTATACGATCTGTACAGGAGACCAACTCTCAAAAATTCTAACCTACTAGATACTGGTAGTAATCGATACAAGCACCTGCCTAAGTCATCATTTTATCATTGTGACACACGTCTCATGATGCGAGCGCCAACTGTATAAATAGCATATGTATAACACATTGTACGATAATTAGTGACAAAATTGTTTTGCTATAATATATCATTTGTTTAGGTTAATAATTCTTTGTTGACATACGAGCTTGCATTTTATATTTTTCATAAATGATAAGCACACCAGCTGATTGATAAAATATGATATATTAGATATATAACATCGCGTGTGAAATATGTCATATACTAACATCGATGGGTTTTTTTTATTCTGGATTAGAACATGAAAAGTCGGACTTTTATTAATTATCAATTCAAGCCATATGCTTGATCTTTTTGTGGTTTTCAGCAGTTATAGTGACATTAGATCCTCCGAATATTACCAATTCTACATTGCATTTTGTATTTAGTGTGAATAGAGTTGCATTATAAGAAACTAGTTCTTTGCCATTTGTCGATAGAGAGCAGACTTTCAGTGAATGCGTTTTGGCGAAGTGGTATGAAGGTAATGTGTTCCCATGACAACGTCATCATATCTTGGTAGTTGTATTGACGACGTAAAACCTCAAAGACATGGTATAATCTGGGAAGTTTTACACGTGAGACCAACTTTACAAGGGACGGGTGGCTGTTTACTTACAATATATAGAATTATTATATTTTTTATTTGCTTTATACTGAGTGATCTTAAGTTAAACCTAGGTCACAATGTAGACAGACCACTGTTATTGTCCTATCTGCACAGTGTTTTCTCGGATCTACCTGGTAACGAATTAATAAGCGTATATCAAGATATGTGTAAAGCCATATTATCATTTAAAATTTGAATGACTTCCCCTTTTATCACCAAGTTGTATGACAAATATGTGAAAAATAATCCGTCTGATTCCATACATCTTTAAAAGTACTTTTATTTAACTATTTGGTATTAAATATAAACAATTATTTATCGGAATTCGTCACAATATCGGTCCTTTTCATAAGCAAGAGACCTAGCTGGGCTGTGTTTTCTAATATTATATTTTCATGAAGTTTCAGAGATTAAATCACATAAAACCATTGTTTTTATCAAGTTATTTTTACTGACAGGCCGAGGGCGTCCGCTGTGGCAGAAAGGCTTTGGAGCAGTAGAAGTGTTACAGATGTACTATCGGCGTCTGCTCGTCTGCAGGAACACAGGTGTCGCATGCTTAGGTACATATATCAACTGATAATTTTCTTGAGGGATATAAATCAATGAAACTCGGATACACTATTTTATACTGTGTAATGATTTGATTTAATTATTCCATGTGAAAAAAAATCCCTAAAAATGAGACATGTGTTAAATTTTTAAGTCATCTTTCGTTCTTCTGCAAATCCTTTCTCGGAGCTTCGTTTAATTTTATCGATAAGTAATATTAATAACATCGAAACGTGATAAGTTTGTTAGAACAAAAAAGCAAGTAACTTCTTGTCACTCTGAATAAACAAAGTGATATTTCTCGAATGTATCAGAATATCTACAGCCGAACCTCGTTATCTCGACGGGACCATGGAGAAACTTCGAAATAACCGAGTATTCGACTGAAGCAAGTTCAAAGATTTTGTGTAAAGTTTGGCAGGGACCGACAAAAAACGGGGTCTCGAGTTATACGAGTTCGAGATATAGTATTACGAGTGCTAAGTTTATCGTCATATTAGGAATTGAAAATGTATATAATCTCGAGCATTCAGAGACACGACAACTATAATTTCGGTGGTTTATAAACTCTTGGGTATAACGAGAGGGACTTGTTACATAGCTTTCGTTCATCAATGGATTCATTTTCATTTCAACATTTCATTTTTATTGGCAAGATTCTATAATTTAGATACATAATTTCAATTCTGTATTTTCAAAATGTTCGATTTTCAAGTTTGAAATGAAAAAAAAAATCACAATAACAGTGAGTAAAGAGAAGTAAGTCTTACAAAAGAAATAAGGGAGGTAACTCTCACACCCTTTAAATATTACAAAAAGGTACAGTATTAATATCAATAACATAAAGCAATCAAGAAGAGTTCTGATTTTTACCAAAAATCCTCGTGCAAGTTACTGCACTGTCACAACTATCAATACTGATGTCAAAAAAAGAAAAAAAATCATGTTTCGATGATTAACAAATACACATGCATTATACTACAGTCATGTGCTCAACCAGTATTTCCCATATCTGTCATAAAAGACACAAAACTATAACAACAATAGAACAATATTAGGCATTTGGATCATGGCATCTAAGAAAAAGAAGAAACGATGGAGATTTTCCAAGAAAAAGGTGAGCAGCTTTCTGTAGGATTATGTGTGTAAGCCCATCACAAGCAAAGGAGTTGTGTAGTATCATTATGATCACTATAGCTATTAAGAGCAGAAAATATGACAACCGTTTAAAGAGCATTCAAGGTATCATCAAGGGATGTCAGTATGGCAAAATTACAATGCATGACAACATATTACGATAACGAAACTAACGCGCGTTTCACTACTTCATGTAAATCACCGGACAGGATAACAGTTAATGTTTAGAATGCAGACTCTGATGGCTCCCTCGAAAAACTTTCACACCTATATTTATTTTAATGTGAACCAACATGTCTGTTCCTTCCTCTGTAGGCGTGGACTTCCTGTAGGATATATCAGTGGCCCTGATTACTGTGTGCCGCCTTCACAGAAAGACGACCCAAATAAGAAAGGAACGGAGTCCGTCACCGAGTCCTCTGGGAACCATATCCACGCACTTCGTCTCCGCTCCAAACCAGTCCTGTGGATAAGCTGTACAAATGTTAGTATCTTTACGGTAATAATATTGTTCACACGGGTAATTAACACCGGATTTTTCTACATTCTTTTAATGTGAAGTATAAATCAATTGTCATGTTTCAGCATGAAATTTTGTAATAACCATAAAATTTGCCTAAAACCAGAAAAAAACCAATGCTGGTGACTAGATAATAACTATAAGCTTATTTCATCTATTTTACAAATTCTCATCCTTTTCGTCTATGAACAGGGAGGGAGAGAGAGAGTGCACATTCAAAGATAAGGACAAATATCTATTACACTTACATAACTATTCTACATAATCCTCAGGGGGCGAAATGAACACGAGGCGAATTCGTGTAAAATCGTACAAGGGTGGACATATTCCGGTATACAGGTTTGGGAGAGTATGCCTTAACGTAACGACTTATGGATAATAATATGCATGCGATTTAGAAAAGTTGGACCAGTTTAGCGGTTCTCTTCGTGCATGTTAAAGAGACAATTCTTTATTTGTATTTTCAGGATCTTGAGACCGCCAGTCTGCTTATATCACTAATTGGGGTATTAATGGTGCTAATGATGTTTGGGTTTCGGCTCCGAAGTTTCGTGTATCGACTTATCTGAACATTGTTGAATTTATATAAAACGTTTCATTTCTTTACATTAAATCCATTAAATTTTATAAATATTAACTTTTGCTTGTTGTTTGTTTATTATCGTAATAACTTTCTGTTATTTTCTCTAAAATCATGAATATATAATATTTTTCTTCCTCGTCATAACAGGCAGGGTCACTAAGTAGATAGTTAGTAAAATATCTCTTAATCCTCTGTTACGAAACTCATTAATGGACTACGAGATAAAATCACTATTTACATTGGTTACGAATACGTGTCATATTGATATCTGAAGCAGGTTTGGAAACATCCGTGCATTAATTATGCCGTCTCTGACTTTTTTCCGAAGTTCGCTACAGTTCTCTTACTTTGTATGTGCCACACAACATACGGGATCACACTGTAGTTATAACACAATATCAACTAAATTTTGTCATACAGTAGCGACACTCATTTTGCCATCAAGGATAGCCCTGTCAAAATAAACAGATCTATACTGTAGTTTAAGCTATTCATTAAACGGCCAGTAACATGATCAGGTTACATATTCTTAGGGTCTCTTGTACATTTTTAGATAGAACAGTAGATTTACCTCCCCGCCAACAAAAATGTTACAAGGGGGCGCTAATTTATATTTGCATTTTAACAGTAGTCTCATTCCCTTCGCAACTTGGACAAACTTGACTATAAGGTAGTGATAGCACCCATCAACAGATAAAAGAGTCCTAAACGCAGTGTGTCTGGCAGTACTCCTACACAGAAACAAAATGATGGTAACTTTGCCGTGGGAGACAAACAGAAATTCACCTACAAGAACAGTAGTACGGTGACCGATACAGAGAAGCAAATTAACAGCAAAGAACAAAAATAAACAAATATATACAAAGAGGACTTTTCGATTAAAATTGCAAGGCTTTTGAATGTCAAACAACCATGTAAACCAATCAGTTTACAGTCAAAACATCAGATGAGTAAGTCGACGTATTCATGAGACTGCCAGTTGGACGATCCGACAGTACCTGTATGCTGACCCGAGAGAGAAAGTGAAATATGATGGAGTGACCTCGTCAAAATGAATGCATCTCATTATTCCGAGGACTTTGCTCGGAAAAGGGGATGAGGCAGGCAAATAGAGGATCGGCAGACAATACAATAATTGTTTACCAAGATGAGATTTACTGGCAATGTCATATGAGGGGACACGGAACCTCCTCCAGTCCCTCGGAAGTTGCCGAACATTACATTCCTGTATTTTTGCCTGAACAGCCTTATCCCTTCTCTCCATTTTATCAATAAACTCCAGGAATCGAATTTGGGACTGGTTCATTCAAATAAACAAAGAGTTCCGACACTATAAGATATAATATTTTAAGGGTATTATAAGGGTAAAATCACAAGGGACATTGGTTGCATCCACATATCTGACATAGAACGATTGTGCACTTGTGGTCTGAAGTTTGTATTACCTTAAGAAGTATCATCAATCACTTTAAGGTAAAGTATTGGATCAAAGTAACGTAGCATCAAGTCATAGACATGATACAAGAAATCTAAACACTCACTCACTGTCAATTAGTTGTAGACCTCAATTTTGCAAAGACCCTTCTTCTTTTAATTCTACCGTGTAACTATGAGATATATCCCTTATACAGGAAAATTCGTCAGTCAGTATAACTAAAATCTATTTAGTCAAAGTAATAATTTATCAATATCTTGTTATTTGAAGTAGATTAACATATGCAAATGAAAGAAAATATTAGTATCAATTTCCATTTCAATTTTTCCCACATATAACAACACAGTTGTACGAGACAAAATACATCAACATCAATATAGAGGTGTATATCTGAGTTAATGTATCCACGTATATGTTTATGATTAACATTATATAGAAAGTATTGCTTCCTTATTCATTAAATATTTAGATAAACAACTAATTTGATAGTGATAGTATTAATGATAAATATAATTTAGTGTTACTAAATAATAAAGGTAAAATCAAGGAAATGAAAGAAATTCTTGCTAAACTTTCTACGTTAAAATATAATTTATCTTCATTTAAATTTCAAATTATTTACCATTTGGAAATCCGAACAGAATAAGTTATTTATGGTATACACTAACATATTGATAATAATTGATCACGTCTATCGTATATACCAAACAGAATTGGAAATCAAGGACACGACAAACCCCTCTATATCAACTGCTTATCTCGATCTTTTTTCTACGACGGAACCAACATGGAAAGCTTTCCACAAAGCAGTTTGATAAGTGTGATGAATTCAATTTCATTATTTTGAACCTTCCACTTCTGGAAAGAAAACACTCTGTTCCCTTAACCTATGGTGTTAAAATATCGCATGTAATTCGATATTCAAGGACGTGTTCCTAACATCGTGATTTTCTCTTGCAACATGTTGTCAAGTGCTAACAAACTCGAAGCACAGAGTTTCGAAAGATGCACGTTATGAAAATTATGAGGAAGTTTTACAGTCGTAATAATGATATCATTGAGGAATATTCTGTTTCTTTCGATATGAAACTGGACATGATTGATGCTCGTTAGGTTGCCGGTTGGTTCCGTTGCTGTATACCTTCTTCCCATTTGAAAACGTGACATAATTTTTCAAATTGACCAAATTTTACAACCGGGTGTTGTCGATGGTACAAAAGACACTTGCTCTTCCTGAACCATGCTCCCTATTGGTTCGGCGAATCAATAAAACAATTTCAATTGGGGTAGCCATTGTATTTAAAAGAACAGAGAGAAGTCATTTCTAGCATCTGTTTGACTTGTCTTTTCCTCGTCACTAAAAACAACTACTTTCTTTTTATAAACATGTATATAAATTGTCCACATATAATACAACGATATTGGAAACTATCTAGTACCTGTTACATGCCTTGCGGTGTGATTTGATAAGTTATGGTGGTAAGTAGTTTGGACAAATGGGAATTTGGGGGTCATTAAAAGCATTAAGAAGCAGGATTCCCATTTGACTTTGTTAACTTCAAATGGACATCAAGTTTCCCTCTACCGTTTAATGTAGCAAATGATTCTAAACTTCAGTGGTTTCAGGATAGAATTTTACACAATATTTTGACTACAAATTCATTACTATTGAAGTCAACCGTAATTGTATGTCTACTTTGTGCTTTTTGTAAATAAGAGTCAGAAACCATAAATTATGTGCTTTGGAAATATCAAAAAGTTCAAAATTTACCACAGAGCTTGGAAATCCCCTTAGAAACACTTCTGATTTCTTTCACTATAAATGAAGAGTCACTAATCTTCGGTTTCTGGTCAATTAGAAATGATTTCAGTAATTAACATCATCATTAAACATTACATTTACCAAACTAGGTGTTTGATCAGTTTATGAAAAGACCATCACAATGTCAAAAAATACACAGCAACGGCTAAGGATGATGTTTATCTTGAAAGTATCAACAGAGAGTGATGAAAATGGACAAAAAATCACATTTACTTATCTAGATTTAATTGAATAGATTTATGTCTATAACCATTCTTATCTAATTGTCCTTTCAACACTGATAGTTGGTTTAGAGCAAATGTTTTCTATAATGTAATATTCTATTTAATTTTATACTTTCTGAGTTTTGGTGCATGTCTCTGTCTAATCTGTCCCTGTGTCAATTGTCTTTGCGCTTATGTGTCTTTGTGTTCGTCTATCTGTACGTCTTACTCAGTCTGACATTTCTTGCCTCTGTGTACGTGTCTGCTTTATGTGTGTTTTTTTGTTTTTGATTTTGTCTGTCTTTTTAATGACTTGTCTGTCTCTATTCTCTATTTCATTTCTTAAAACAACAATAACAAAAAAAAAAAAAAAAAAAAAAAAAAAAAAAAAAAAAAAAAAAAAAAAAAAAAAAAAAAAAAAAAAAAAAAAAAAAAAACAAAAAAAAAAAAAAAAAAAAAAAAAAAAAAAAAAAAAAAAAAAAAAAAAAAAAAAAAAAAAAAAAAAAAAAAAAAAAAAAAAAAAAAAAAAAAAAAAAAAAAAAAACAAAAAAAAAAAAAAAAAAAAAAAAAAAAAAACAAAAAACAAAAAACAAAAAACAACAAACAACAAACAAACAAAACGAAAACACACATCACATGCCTATTGTGACTAGTTTTATTTCAATGTTCTAAACTGACATCTTGGATCGATTGAATTTTTATGCATCATACTAAGGTATTTGAAAACGTGAATTAGGAATGTAGGATATCTATGAAATGTTTGATACGAGTGGTTGTATACAGATGTCTGGTACACAAATGTCTTTATTTAGATCTGTGGATGAGTGTTCTGTGAAATATGTAATGATATTGTCATGACTGTGCTTTGAAAAAACTGAATGAAATTAAAAGTTAAAAAAGAAGTATGATTTCGTCGGAAAGATGCATAGGTGCGGTTTCCTTCGCTATCAAGCAAGCGTAGTTCTTTTTGTACACAGGAAGTGTAATAATGTCTGCAGACAAGGATCAAGTTATCTGCAAGCATAATAACAAACCTGTCTGGTAAATTTTGAAGTGTGGATTTAACATCAGGAACGAGGAACAATGACCAGTGTTTTGTTTCCATTTTTAAAAAAATTAATTAAGCTGCTAATTAAACAAATTAATGTTTAAATTACATTCCGGAGGAACTCATATGTATAAACGGATGACTTTTGAGAAACATATTTTAAGAATCTGTTTACTCAGATATGTTGTCAAGTATATGCAATATTTTACAGTGTGATTATGTTAATGATCTATTCTCGTGGTAAATAAAAAGATAATTGTAAACCGCACGAGAGTAACTTTTGTTTACATCATTTTTGAACAAGTGGTTTGCAGGGAAACTGCGATCGCCGTTCTAGGACAGTGATTAATTATTAATCACATTCTCTCTTCGCTAAATAGCTTACTGAAGAGAGAGAGAGCCAGGATTCTCTTAACAGGCAATATATATATCCATAACAATTATATTTTCTAAATCTACTACATCAATATAACAAATAGTTTATCTCTTGTATATAAGAAACACGCTTCAGCAATATGCAAGTGAGCAATGATTAATCACCATGGTGTAAGGGGATAATACATGTGTCTGCATCATGGTATAAACCTGTCTGTTTCAGACTTTCAGTACTGGTAGGACTGTTTATTTGTGTTCTTCTTTGTTTCAAGGACAGTAATTGTCAGTTCCTTTATATTTACTTCTCTCTGTAATTGTGGTATCTCTGTAATTGTAGTGTCTCTTGTAGAAGTGCAGTGACCTTGTAATGTCTGTTTTATCTGTATTAACCTTTAGCTGTCTGTACTAACCTTTAGTTTAACAGCGTCTCTCTGTAATGTCTATTTTATCTGTACTAACCTTTAGCTGTCTGTACTAACCTTTAATTGTACAGCGTTTCTCTGTAATGTCTGTTTTGTCTGTACTAACCTTTAGTTGTACAGCGTCTCTCTGTAATGTCTGTTTTGTCTGTACTAACCTTTAGCTGTACAGCGTCTCTCTGTAATGTCTGTTTTGTCTGTACTAACCTTTAGCTGTACAGCGTCTCTCTGTAATGTCTGTTTTGTCTGTACTAACCTTTAGCTGTCTCTCTCTGTAATGTCTGTTTTGTCTGTAACCTTTAATTGTACAGCGTCTCTCTGTAATGTCTGTTTTGTCTGTACTAACCTTTAGCTGTCTGTACTAACCTTTAGCTGTCTGTACTAACCTTTAGCTGTACAGCGTCTCTCTGTAATGTCTGTTTTGTCTGTACTAACCTTTAATTGTACAGCGTCTCTCTGTAATGTCTGTTTTGTCTGTACTAATCTTTAGTTGTACAGCGCTTCTCTGTAATGTCTGTTTTGTCTGTACTAACTTTTAATTGTACAGCGTCTCTCTGTAATGTCTGTTTTGTCTGTACTAATCTTTAGCTGTCTGTACTAACCTTTAATTGTACAGTGTCTCTCTGTAATGTCTGTTTTGTCTGTACTAATCTTTAGTTGTACAGCGTCTCTCTGTAATGTCTGTTTTGTCTGTACTAACCTTTAGCTGTACAGCGTCTCTCTGTAATGTCTGTTTTGTCTGTACTAACTTTTAATTGTACAGCGTCTCTCTGTAATGTCTGTTTTGTCTGTACTAATCTTTAGCTGTCTGTACTAACCTTTAATTGTACAGTGTCTCTCTGTAATGTCTGTTTTGTCTGTACTAACCTTTAGCTGTACAGCGTCTCTCTGTAATGTCTGTTTTGTCTGTACTAACCTTTAGCTGTCTGTACTAACCTTTAGCTGTACAGCGTCTCTCTGTAATGTCTGTTTTGTCTGTACTAACCTTTAGCTGTACAGCGTCTCTCTGTAATGTCTGTTTTGTCTGTACTAACCTTTAGCTGTACAGCGTCTCTCTGTAATGTCTGTTTTGTCTGTACTAACCTGTACCAGTACAGTGTCTATCTGTTATGTCTGTATTGTACTAACCTGTAGGAGTACAGTGTATATATCTATCTGCATTGTCAGTTTCTCGGGACCGCCTATGTTACAGATCAAATACATATTTATAAACACGAGCACAGCTTACATGTTTTATACAATGAAGATTGCTAAAATAAAATATATAGTTGCTTAACATGTCAATAATTTATCAGTCACAAAGGCCTGTTAGATAAAATATAAGTATGAAAAAGGCAATTACGATGCAGTTAATTCTTATGAGATTAGGAATATGTCTGTGGATACAAGCTGTTATTATGGTAAAGTAGACACGAAACTAAAGCTGATGTCATATCTTTCGGGAAAGTTGTCATAGAACGACAGGGAGGAGAACTCGAAATTGACTGATATATGTACACTGTACAATGACTAAAACGTTCAGACGGCCGTAGTTGCCGAAATGTCTGTTAAACCACAGAAGAAAGGGGCTGGAAACACGTAAACATAATCATGACAGTGTTAGTATTCTGGGCAACAGGTCAATGCCAGAAATCTCAACGCCCACCCCCCCCCCCCCCCGCCTTCTAACAATAGAACACGGGACCTCCGGTTGTATTCATGGCCAAATCAATCACTGAAGCATGGTGCAGACTCCTATCAACCAAGAACAACTTAAAAATCGCTAAAACTCGTGTAAGTTATTGAACACTGTGTGTGCCCTTACTCAGATACAGGGGTACGTAACATTTTAAATTCAATATGGCACTAGAAATCCAATATGGTGGTTTAGAAATAGGTTTCAGATGTTGGGAACTCGCCCAGAGGACAAACTTATGTAATAATCAAATAGTAATTTGCATTTGGTGACTGCCTGATTAAAATTGTCTGAAACTGAATAAGGTTCTTCAAATTTGAAAATCGCCATAGAGACTGGAAGATGGTACACTATTGCGAATCAAGAAATGGTATGTCAAATGATCAGCTAAACTACAGACAACCAATTTCACGACCTGCTTTGTTGTAAACACGACGAGATTGATTATCACTACAATAATCCTACTTCATATAAGATGAGTAAAAGATGAGTTAGCTTATATGTCGATACGAGATGTCCAACTATCAACGAAAATATCATTTTTCCTTTCAAATTGATGAAGTTGCTTTAGATATACAGTGGAAGTATAAACTTGTCACAAAATTGCTATATGTGTGTATCTATTGTCCATCATGTAGGTTGGTATTGAATAGTAAAGTTATCTATCTTGTCATGTGTTATTTTGCACCCTAAACATGTGTCTTTGTGGTTTACTGGATTGAGTCTTAAAATATTCGATCTTGAGAAACCTTATTCAATTTTCTTACGTCACGAACAACTTATGGGTGAAGAAGCATTTTGATGCTGTATGAAGTACATGTACGTATGTTTCAATTGCACATTGCTATTTGGGTGCCATTTTTGTTGATCTACGGTTTTCTTAATCGGCACTGTCTACTCCATACATAGACTACCCTTACTTCAGCCCAGTTGATGTTGCTTCACATCTGTGTCTTTTAAAACGGCAGGGGTTATTATTATTTTTTTATTATTTCATTGGGTCATATGTAGGATAATTAAATGAGGTAGACTTACTTTTTTAATTTCAACGACGTTCGATATCAAACAAAGTAACGAAATGCAACCAAAATAGATATGTAACATTGTGATGTGAAATTGAAAAAAAAAACCAGCAACATACATTTAACAAAGTAAGCCCATATATCATAGAGTACGGAAATATGTAACAAAGTACATATCCCAAGTACAGTATGAAATAAACATATAAACATGAACAATCTAGGTTTCTATTTGTACTCTGTGTTATTTCTCTACACGTTTATGTAAAGAATCTTGTAAAGAGTGTTTTTGTGATATAAATGAACGTTGATGATATTGTACTAAACCTGTTTATTCTCTTGTTTATAATACATATTGTTCGTTCGAAGTAATCGGATCCTCTCGGCAGTTTACCTTAGGTGATGTAGTTCTCACCTGCAACTTGTGAGATACATAAAGTTGTCAGATAAGTACAATGACGTAGAGAGAAAGACTGGAAAGTTCACGTGCAAAGTCGGTGGTTTTTGTTGCTATGGATACTTGATATTACTGTTCTAAAGGGGTACGGTAGTCATGGGAATCATTCTACTGAGAAGTCATAGTTATTATCTCTTTGTAGTGGATGTTATGTCCCCTATCAAATCTGATAAATTTAACAATCTGTTGTTTATTCATCTACAGTATCCCATACTCTCTTTTCTGATAATGTCTACGTCACAGTGTATCACGATCGATGGATTCACGAGTTGAGTTATTGATAGAAAAGTTAGAAATTATTTTCACATATTTTAATTTTTTTCTCTGACCGTGATTCGTACCCGGGAACTTAATACACAGACTAATTAACCGGTCTAAAGGTTAAATACTCTGTCAGATTGGCCAGACTAACTTCTCAAAATATTTGGGAAATGTTTCCGTGTCTTGGCTTCAAAATACATGTTAACAGCACAAATTTGCCTGAGTAGCAGATATAGAGTGGGCCTGTTTTGTTACGTACAGTGCCCGAGAGACTGCTTATATTAACACAACAATTAAATAACACCGATCTCTGTACATTTCCCAACTACCGGTATAACACACGTGTGTGCGCACGTGTGTTTTCAGTGCATCTCCCCATACGCCCTCACACTGAGTGAATGTAGTAAGAGCGAAACATTGGATCTCACCAAGGACGCCCGATTCTGCTCTCCATGTTTAGGCAGAGCCAGGCCACAGCGGCAGGAATCTTGTACTGGAGGAGTCCATTATGTTTTCAGAGGGGGAGACAGATTAAACATGAGACGTAACACTATTAAATTATTTGCTAAAGAAAATGTATATGATTGGTTGATTTTGATGCCTATTATGTGTATTTGTTGAGTTATTATCATATAATACTGAAGTTTCCACGTTACGTTAAATCAGTGATAGACTATACCAAAATCTACCCATTACGATAATAGACTTGCCCATGGAAATGTATATGGAATCTCTGTACAATTCTATACGGGCTCCTGTATCTTGTCCCAACTCCCTCTATGCTGGGCTTTCTTTGAGGATATTTTCGTTATTTTCCAAAACACTGAACCAGTAAGTCTCAATTTATTTCATCTCATTCTGTAGTAAGATAACGATGATTTTATTGTAAAAAAGAAACAATCTATTGTAGTAATTTGATAAGATTTTGCTCTCAATTTGCATATATGTGTATAACTATAATTAGATAAGATTAAGATAATTTATCAAATTAAAAATGTCGTTGTCAAGGTTCATCTGTTATGAAATATGTATCCGTGTGCATATCTGGTATGTTAATTAGTCAGAGTACCATCTCATTTTTTGTCTATGTGTGCATGCGGTAAATTTGTCATTACTTTGCTATTTGTCAACACCCATATCCATCAAACATAAATTTGATGATAAAAAGTGTAAAGGCGGGATCGGACTGTCCGCCTCTTGGTTTCGGATGTTCTTAGGACCTTATAAAGGACGAGGAAGTTCTTTGGATTCTTCTACTGTAAAATCCTGTTGACTGCGTGTGCTGCATTCTCCCTTGCGCTGACGTTTTCTTTGCTTTATTTCCGTTTTTCGTCTCCATCGACCGGTGTTCTCACTCTTGCTGTGAAGTAAGAGGATTTTCTAAAGATTAACAAATGGATACTGTGGACATGATTATTTACCGCCCCGAGGATTATGAGGTATACCTTTATAAACTGTGGAGACGAAGAACTGTTGGATGCATGTGGGACTTAGACTACTAATATAATAATTTTAAAAGATTTTGTTAGTTTTTTGTGGTCAGTGTAGTTATTTTAGGCTCAAATACATCATTATTGCTGCGCGTTTTCTGTATGTCCAACACTTTCTTCTACCAACATTCTGTCTATTACACATCGGACTTCACTGTTTATAACTAAAACTTCGGTAAATTTTATATATAACCAGTGATCAAAGTTGAATTAATAGTTTTTTTTAAGTTTTATGTAAAAAATTGAGGATATTTTCCGCCTGAAATTCTTTTAAAATAATCATTTTTGCCTTTTCGGCGGCCATGTTGGATTTTACCGGAAGTCGTTATTGTAGAGCGTTTATATATCTACATTGACCATATAAGGCTAACATAATCACCAGTAGAACATACAGGTAGGTGAACGTTCGGGATATTTATTGTTACTGGTTTTATCACAAACAGGTAAGGGCTCGCCCACAACCGGAAATGGCCAGAAAAAGGTTAAGCACCCCCGGGTACATCACGGTAAGTGTTGATTTACCATTATATATTGCTTATACACTGATGTTTGCTACTTTTTACTATATTTAATGATATTGCATTCGTGAAGCTTTATTACTGTTTATGTGTTGTTTAAATATATGTGATACACCGTTTCTAAACTGCCGATATGTCGAAATTTCACTTATACTATATCACGAACTGCTCATACATGAATATTGTTTATAAACTTGCTTTGATCTATTTATAGACTGTTAACACCCTCTTCACTACGTGTATACAGTATATAAATAACTATTTATCTACTCTCGCCGTTAATTTAACAGATACGTATCCAATCTTTACTCTACACTTCAGAAAGACGTTTATACCTATCTACTGACACTTCAGAAATACGTTTACACCTATCTACTGACACTTCAGAAATACGTTTATACCTATCTACTGTAAAGATGTATAATCACTATCCATCTTTTTCTTAAGATTTTAGATACATGATTTTTATCAGTAATACACTTTTAATAGTGATCAAATGAAAAATAAAAGTTTATGTTAACATAATTAATGTCCGAATGTCGGGAAGTCATATACAGTTAAATTATTTCGATATCGATATAAGTAAAGCTCGTAAAAACTATAAGATTGACACTATTATGAATGCTCACGTTTATGGTTTTGGTATTGTACATAAACGAATGAACTTTTGATACATTTGCCTGAAATTAGAATGTATAATTACTGAGGTGAAATTTCCTCGCTGTTTTCATTGCACTGACGTTACCTCGCAAAAGAGCGTGTAGTGTTTCGTCTGAAGATTCAAAATAATGACAGCGTGCATTTTTCAAAATTTTATTTTCTATTTTTTCTTCGACAATCCCTCTATTCTCCATAATTGAGTTCCTTATCCTCTTAAACATGTTACACACAATACACGACACCCCGCCCCCTCTCCCCACCCCCAGAATAGATGTCTATTACAGTAAGTCAGGCCCGCAGACTTAAAGATTTATCATATAACTTAAAGTGTAAAAACCAGGCTTTTAATTTACTCTACAACAAAGATATACAAGCTAGTTTGGACTGTATAGTAAGAAAGTAGATATTACAGGATGTCTTACCTGTATGTACGTCAGGCTTTCGTCCGTCAGAGTGTCACGTGATTCTCTGAAATTTTACCGTCATTGTTGTGTTTGTCAGCTTGGCGTTTGTTTCTGATAGTCTCCATAATTGTTTTGTCGCTTGTTATCTCACACAATAAAGTAGTAACTAAACATCCTGAGAAATGATTACACAGTAACTGCTATTGTCATCAATTAGGGGGGACGCCAGACTATACATTATCTCTGCATTACCTATTTATATAAGACTGAATTACTTGTTAAGTTTTCTACATCAATGGTAGTTTATGAATTAAATCACTACTATTTCTATCATACACCACATATTTCAGTAGTTTGTTTATTTGATATGGTTTGAGATTAATATTAATAGCCAGCCGACAGCCATGGTTATTTGAATGCTACTTGATAGTACCGTATACGTTTAGTGATACATATAAAATGCAATATTAGACACGTGTATGTCACTTACGACTACGCCAGTCAGAAATCGATTGTGAACAAAATGACTGCCGCCGTCAGATTAAGTCTTCCATATTTTTACCTTAAATTTTCCAAACTTCTCTGAACTACTTGATAAAAAGTGTATGAATTTGTTTTCATGTGAAAAAGAAAAGAACAACTTCTTGGACTCGTTCTATACAATCTTGTATCAGATGATTCAAATATATGTCATGGTACAGTAATTACAAGGTGACGGTGATTAGTACGGTACAGTAATTACAAGGTGACTGTGATTAGTACGGTGCAGTAATTACAAGGGGACAGTAATTAGTACGGTACAGTAATTACAGGGGGACAGTAATTAGTACGGTGCAGTAATTACAGGGGGACAGTAATTAGTACGGTGCAGTAATTACAAGGTGACGGTGATTAGTACGGTACAGTAATTACAGGGGGACAGTAATTAGTACGGTGCAGTAATTACAGGGGGACAGTAATTAGTACGGTGCAGTAATTACAAGGTGACGGTGATTAGTACGGTACAGTAATTACAGGGGGACAGTAATTAGTACGGTGCAGTAATTACAAGGGGACTGTAATTAGTACGGTACAGTAATTACAGGGGGACAGTAATTAGTACGGTGCAGTAATTACAAGGGGACAGTAATTAGTACGGTACAGTAATTACAGGGGGGCAGTAATTAGTACGGTACAGTAAGTACTAGAAGACAGTATTATCACGGTACAGTCATTACAAGGGGACAATAATTAGTACACTACGGTATTATAATTACCACCGTACGGCATTACCACAACATGTACTGCAGCTGATGCTGATGTCATATCATTAGTGAAGTCTGTAGATCTGTGTAGATCTGGTTACACAAGGCGTAAACAGACAGAGATATACACTCCCTGGAGAGGGGATGTGTGGGTTATCTGTAGGTGTGGGGTGCAGTCGGGGTAAATGTTGGTGTGGAGTGCTATCGGGAATGTAGGGAGGGTATCTCTATTGGGGGTAACGGCGGGGTGTAGGTCGAAGACTGGAAGGAGGGATGTTTTGTAGGTGTAGGAGGGGCTCTGATTTCATCCTAATTAGACAGTATCGTGTACGGTTAAAAGTTGATTTATTTACATGATCTATATACATGAAAAGTTACCAAGTTGGTAGAGTGGTACATCGTGAATACTTTATATCCAGAAAATGATTTACATTGTAGCATAACACATTCTTGTTAGTCATGTGCATCTGTGGAAAGGACTGTTGAAAGCATATCTGTTATATCTGTTATGTTTTACGACGAAAGGGAGGGTGTGGGTGGTGGGGGTTGTAAATTTGTAAGTACATGTAGGTAAGTGCGATGATCATATAGACTCTGCGTTCTAAAGGCAAGAAATTCAATGCTTACACAGAAATACTCTAGTTAGGTTGATTACGTTAGAGAATGACCTTGACCCAGGCCACTGATTGATACAGTGTGTGTGATGATTACCTCAGCTTGATTGACAATTCTCTGTGTTTATGAAGACGTTTGATACCCTTACATCATACCATTAGAGGTATACCACACGTGAGATACACGTACTTTACATTTTCACCACGTTGATGATCAGAAAGCTTTGTCCATCATATTGACCTTTGACCTTGGTTGATAATTTTTCCAGCATGTTTTACGCTTCATTAATGCGAACATAAAACGTCGTAATTAGCTTCACAGGCCTGTGTCAGTACAATGGGGAATTTTGGAGTAGGAATGAGGGGTTAGGGGGGGGGGAGGGGAGGGGGTGTTTCTATTAATGTATAGTGGAGAATATGGTACTGATTAAGGTTCATTGTACATGTAGCACTGATCACAACATGCAAGTATTTTCAAAGATAAAATGAAAAAGCAGAAAAAATCTTTGTAAGGAAGATATATTTTCACCGTCCGTTCTAATTGAATGTTGAACTACCATTTACAATTTTGGAATGATTTTCCGAATATAAATCCCGATCGTGCATATCTAATCTCGATCATCATATTCATGAGACTGGAATTACGTCAATAGTGTAAGTAGGTAAGCTCTACCAGATTTGTTATATCTATTGATATCAACGGGATTTATTTCACGGTAATATACCGGGAAAGTATTTAAGGCTTCAGATATTTAACGAGCAGGCGCGTTGACGCTGACTCGGGGGAAAAAGTATTCTTGAAAATGAAATTATTTATAAAAAAAATCACGATTAGCTACAAAACGAGCCAGTCCCAGTCATAAATTGCACGATTGTTTGAAATTCCCTGTCATTATTATGATATAAATCAAGGCTAAGCGGAGCTAAATTATCGGTATCCCCGACAGAAACCCTTGTTTGTTGTGCTTAGTTGTGTGAAAACATGCCAAGATATACTAATTGTACGCAGACTTGTTATAACTCGTGGCCACCGGTCTTCACGAGTCAAGGCTGCGTGGCCAGTCTGTTTATAATCAGTAAATCCTACTGGGTATATGTCTAGTACGGTGCTAGATGTGCAGTGATAATGTTTACACAGTACTGGTTGTTTTACGAAACATTGGCTCATCTCTATGGTTACATTGGCTCATCTCTATGGTTACATTGGCAATTGTTGTGGTAATTATATCTCCTAAACAGGTCTAGATAGAATCTCCTCGAATACGTTATGTACTTTGAAGAACTTAATGAGTGATTGTTTCGAATTTCGAGATAGGAAATTATCATTACAGCCCCAATAAAAGTATATATGATCTGTTTCCATATTCAGTACATTTCTATAATTTGATTCTTGTTTAACATCAATGATATCTAAAATTCTTTTCGCTCTCTCATGGAAAGTTTTGTAATTTTTGGTTTTATATTGCACTATCGGTAATTAGTAACATATTTTAATGATTCATTAGTCACGAAGAAGTAATTGGTTTAAATTTGTTTAATGTATTTACTGAATAGATTAAGTAATTGAATGATGAAGTATCACGCGGTGAATATCCTCATCTCGTTCACTCATCATTCTGGTCAAACGCAGTACTAGGAAATTATCTTCACAAGGAGGCGATTATTTTTAATTAATCTAATTAGGGCGTTTCTCAAAGTCTACGTTACACAACTGTGTTGGCAGACCTTGGTATAACGTACAGACAACCATGGGATCTCGTTGATAATCTACTCCAGTAACCTCTCTGTATCTTACTCTCGGGATCTCGTTGATAACCGTCTCCTGTACCCTCTCTGTGTCTTACTCTCGGGATCTTTACCTCTCTGTATCTTACTCTCGGGATCGCGTTGATAACCGTCTCCTGTACCCTCTCTGTATCCCTTGCTCTCGGAATCTCGTTGATAACCGTCTCCTGTACCCTCTCTGTATCCCTTGCTCTCGGGATTTCGCGTTGATAACCGTCTCCAGTACCCGCTCTATATCCCTTACTCTCGGAATCTCGTTGATAACCGTCTCCTGTACCCTC